ATATGTGCGTCAAATTAGTAGACATTAACACCTTGGGCAGCGCAATATCGAAAGGTGGAGTTTTCCAGCAAAGGCATGGCTACCGCCACAATTTGCTCACGTGGGACTCAACGTGTTCGTGCTAAAAATGCAGAAAACGTTTTCCTTTTGTGTCTGCGTTTTAGACGTGAGTTATTTGTTTCAAATCTACACGGTGTAGCGTTCTTGGCCGTAATGCCACTTCTCTTTCTTAGGTTCTAGTAAAATGCGTATGGAGCAGATCGAGAAACGTTACCCTGTATGCTTAGATATCCGTCATTTCTGGGCGCAAAGGTGGCGTCGTCTTTCCTTTCCAACCCAATTTTAGGCGCAATTTCTTCATCCCTAGACAGGTTTTAAAAAAAAGTAAATTGGTAGACTGTGTAGCACAACTCATCCTTCTGTCAAAACTCACCGCAAGCCGCAAAGTGCGCGAATAATTCGTTTCGTTTGTCTATTCTACGAAAAACTAGGATTCCGGGTTGACACACCTTACATCAGGTAGACATCCTACTGTGATGAGTGCAGCAAAAGAAGCGCATTGGTTTCTCTGGCTTTTCTGGTATTCTGGCGCCCCTATGACCCAAATTGTTTTCGAACGCTCGCTACGACGCTCGCGGGAGTTTGTTGTACAGGTGCGAGGGGGCAACAACTCCTAGAATCATGTGTACACGGATCTAGGACAACTCGCCCCGACTATCTCGTCCCCGGTCAAGTCAGCCCATGCCCTCTCCGGTCCCGCCCTTTTCGGTCCCGGTCAACTTGTACCTTGTACCCAGTTTTATGAAAAAAATATAAGTGCACCCGCAGCTCCTGCTTGGACATAGATGTGGAAAGTTAAGCTCACGTGAGCTCGCTAGATCGTTCTAAAACACGGCAACGTACAAATTTATAGGGATCATTACTTTTTCGGTATTCTGTTTGATTTGGGTGATTCCGGGGCGCAGGGCTGGAAATAACCCGCTGCAGCGCCCGGAGTTCCCGGCGGAATCTCGGGAATCGAATTGAATAATAAAACTATAATGATCCCTGAGCTCCCCCCTTCCTGAAAATGTGTATGTAGCCGTGTTTTCGAACGCTCTCGTGAGATCACGCGTGAACTCGCGCTCTCGCGTGAGCAAATTGTGGCGGTAGCCATGCCTTGCTGGATAACTCCACCTTTCGATATTGCGCTGCCCAAGGAGTTAATGTCTACTAATTTGACGCACATATATGTGTAAAAAATCACATTACAGATAACAAGGGCAGTTTGACACATATGGCCCCAATTGTACATCATTTTCTTCATTTTTTCATTCAAATAAATCGGGAAGAAGAAAGGCAACGCGTCAGGGGCGTCATCGGAGACCTCTTGAGGTCCCCGCTGACGACCCCAGGATGACCCTGGAGGAGCAAACAGACACCGGAAATGGACTCGGCACACCCGAAAGCTCCCGGACACAAGTTCTCATGAGGGGCGTCATCGGCGACCTCTCGAGGTCCCCGATGACGACCCCAGGATGACCCTGGAGGTGCAAACAGACACCGGAAATGGACTCGGCACACTCAAAAACCCCTGAATATGAAATTTTGTGCCAATCCCGACATTCTGGAATGTTGTCCCAGCGTGCGCGGCACGCTTATGTTAACGTGACACGTCTTCCATCTTCGGGCGATATCTCGGCTCAAAATCGCCGCAAAACAGTCAGAGACCGCTCATTCGACGCGCAATAATAGCCCACGCAACTTTTACTTCGGTAAAATTTCAGCCTTGTTGGCAAATATTGAGAAAATTGAGAAATTAACCTAATTTCCACTCTGAAATTTTCTAGGAGCAAGTTTTGTGGTTCGATAACAGCCGTAGAGTTCAACCAGCCGGTCTCGAGATTACACCATCCGAAAGCTACATCGTTAGCGATCACAACGCAAAAAGAAATTTTGTTCCAGCGCAATTCGCACAATTGCTATAGGGGTTTAAAGGGCCCGGTGTAGTGCGCCCGCCCGGCAGGTAGGCAACCCGCTATCCAGGCCGCCCGCACGGACTGCAGAAGTGGCTAGCGGGCGAAATCAGCTAAGGACTACCATAGGAACATGTGTACAAAGTTTCATGCTTCTAACCAAAAGTGCAGGGTACCCCCTTTATATGTCGCTTAGCGACCGCACTATCTGCCCCTCCGCCGCGACGCTCTCGGTGAGGTGCGGAGAAGGGGAGGGGGGGGGGGAGTCGTATCGCCTGTTTAGGCACAAGTCGCTGCTGCTGGGCTCGCACCGCGCGCCCGCCACCAAGCCGTCGTGACGCGACAACCACAACCACACCTACAACAGGCCGC